AAATTGCAATTCTATGAATCCCATTGATGCAACTTAATATCTCGACTTGACTAAGTGAACTTACTCGCTGCTGAGTCTTTTATTTATGGACTTACACTAAGGCTTTAATTGAGTAGCTCACTCATTGAACTAGTTCTGTCCTTGCTAGTCAATTTTGTAGTTTAGTTCATATTAGAACTATTTATTTGAATCAATTGTTGATTTGGTTGCTCAAAACCCCAATTGTGAACTGTTCATTTAGTGGTTCGCTTAGTAGTTCACGACTGGTTCATTTTGTAGTTGTACTCCCAGAGCTCAGTTACTTAACTGACTCATTTTGTGAATTACCAACTATGAAGCTGGTTCATTTAGTAGTTCACTATTGGTTCATTTTGTAGTTCACTATTGATTCATTTTGTAGTTCACTTAATGAATGGACTATCAACTCTATATGTTGCTTTGGTTCACTTACTAGTTCACAACTGGTTCATTTTGTTGTTCATCTAGTGATTCATTTCTTGCATAGCCCTTGTTTAACCTGTCATTTAGTAGTTCCCTTGGTAGTACACTAAGTAGTTCATGCTGAACTAGTTCCGTTTCTATTTCTTAAATATTTGTAAGAGTATTTCCTCATTGTTCAGCTCGCATAACAAATTCCTTTGGTCCATCCAGTGCTCTCCAGCTGCCTGATATGGCTTATGTATGTGTGCACTCACACATGTACTAGACACTCCATATATATGTATATATATATATATATATTTATATATGTATGTAGTGTGTGGTAGTATATTATTTTGCAAACAAAGCAAATTTCACCCCATAAAACTAAAACGTTGGATTTAATTTTGCAAAATAAACATAAAAATCGCCTTTTCCTCTTCTTTGGCCATCTCTATTTCCTCCTGCTCCCGCTCCTGCTTCTACTCCTCCCTTTCTCTCTGTGTTTCTGTGTCTCTTGTGTGCATATTTATCTTAAGCGAATCTTTGGCAAAGCCAAAGCTCTTAACTATATACTCTATATATGTATATATATATAAATCCTTTTTTTTGGGCTTTTACGAGCAGCAGCTGCCCTCACTCCGGCTCACTGTCTCTCTCTGAGATAATGCAAACTAAATGGAAATAAAAAATTGAGTATTTCAAAGCAAATGCGAAATGAACGTAAATTCGAAATTCATTATTCATTTGCCTAAAAGAAAACAGCAACAGCAACAACAGCAAGAGGAAGAGGAAGAGCAGCAAACATATAAACAACAAAATCAAATAGAAAATGCAAATAATACAAATACAACAAAATGCAGGCGACCTACAAGTGGCAAGGGCCGAGGGGCGTGGCAGTCAGAACTTTTGTAGCGTTCAAAACCGTTTTTGAGTTTTCTCATTTGTTGTTGTTTGGGAAAAAAGTTTTCTAATTAACACAACAACTGACAAACGCAAATTGTCAACGTATTCGCACACAGAGTGAAGGAGAGAGAGCGAGCGGGTGGGCGAGAGGGGCAGGGGAGGGGGAGAGAGAGAGAAATATTTGCCAGCTGCAAAATGCTTTGTTAGGCAAAGCGAACAGCAGCAGATGGGAGCCTAGAGTAGTCATGGGTGGAGCGTGGAGCGTGAAGCGGGTTGGAGGGGCAAAGCTCGCGCTGCCCTGCGGCCATTTTTTTGGGGCGTTCGCCATGGGCAAGGCAGTAGTAAAGAGAATGGGGAGAGTGCCAGAAAGGGCCAGAGGGTCAGGGGGTGCTGGCGAGCAGCTCTTGTTGTTAGCAGTTGTTAGATTAGTTTGACTCTTTTCTCTGCTTGTTTTTTTTTTTCTGCTGTTTGCCTGTTGTCAAAATGTAAATGCGCAGCCAAAGCGGGAATGGGCGTGGGCAGCGCGGCGGAGTGTGAGCGCTGAAGTAGAGCTTGCTCGTAAAATTGTCAGTTGATGATGCCCGCCATGGCAGTGGCCGAAAACACACACAAAAAAACCAGAAATAGAGAAAGGATCAAGCAATTGTTTGCATGGAAATTAACTAAAAAATAAAACAAAAAAAATGGGAAAAGCAGAACAATAAGTGATGAAGTAAGTCAAAGTGCATGACGTATAGATACCCTAGAAAGCGAGTGAAAGATAATTTAATTTAAATCTTAATTTATATGATTATGCATAGAGAGAGGAAGGGAGGAGGGAACGAAAGACAGTTAGAGATATGGAGAGATGGAAGATGAGAGGAGAAAGATACAGATAGACTGCGAGAGGGAGAAATGAGGGAGTCTTTGAAAGCGTCACTGCACACCTGCTTACACTCATCAAACAATGATTTAAACACGAGTCTACAAATTAGATAAACATGCGTCAACATAACAGGGTATCAGAGCAACATTCAAACAACCGACAGAGAAGCGAGTGGAGCGCAAAGCACAATATTTCGGTTGTACTAACAAATTACAAGAGCTCTCAATGTGTTTATTTATTTAAGCTTTACCAAATGAAAAGAGAGTATATTGGTTTTGTGCAATTAACAAGCGTGTGTCCTTTCGTCCGCTTGTACGAAGCTAGACTCTTAAAATGTGTACTAAATATATTCATAAAAACAAAACATATTCATATTCGTATTCATATATTCACTACAGAGCTAGACCTATAAGCCATATTGGCAGATCGGCGAATATAGAAAGCCAACAGCGAGCGATTGGAGCTTGTGAGAATCGCATAGAAGAGTCGCATGAAATATGAATGAAATTAATAAAGCGAACAAATTGTATAATGATTGATTGACTGATTGATGGATTCATTTGCACTGAATTGTATTTTTAGAGTCGAGGAGTCGAGGGTCGGCCACGTCCATAAATTGATTGAAGAGTTGTGCTTCACTCAGCTGGAACTTTTGCGCTTTAGCCAATTCAATTTTCAATTTGATAAAATATATCAAAAGTATTCAAGCCGAAAATAATTATTTGCTTAAAGTTTGCAACTGAAAAGCGGAAAAACTGAGAAACATGAAAAACTGAAAAGTTTCTGTTTGATTTTTGCTATGCTCCGCTCTTCGCTGTGGTTCAATCAAATTAATTTGTGCATTTATGCCAAATGGCCAATCAGTAGCCTCAGCTGTGTCTATATCTACCTATCCCTTGCTCAAACCCCAACCCTCCCTCTCTCTCTCTCTCTCTCAGTGCTCTATGTGTATCTGCGTATGAATCATACTTTTGATTATTACGTATACGCCACGTTCGTCGTCGTCGTCGTCGACTTTGTTTTCATCATTCCAAGCGCAAATTGCTGTTGTTATTGTGGCAATTGTGCTCTGACACACACACAGAGAAGTTATTATTATTTTAACAACAATTTTCAACTGTGTTTCGCCGGCGCCAAACGTCGAAGGTCGCGTAATTCAAAAGCAATTTGTCGAAATTAAATTTGATTACATTTATCGCGCCAGCCGCTGGCCCACTCAGCCACCCCATCCCCCACCCTCTCTCGCCCCATTTCGCTTTGCATTTCTGTCTGCGGCGCCAGCAAAAGTTTCGCTTGCGCTCAACTCTTTAATCGCTGGTAATTGCCATAAATTGCCGACTGAGCGCAGGACCAGTCCGTCTGCCTGGCATAGCCAGCCTCTGGCCCCCACACGCCCCAATTCCAATTTCAATTCCAACTGCGTGCCTGATCAATATGAGACGCATTCAACTTTCAAAGTATGCAGCACAAAGCTCGTAGATACCCTGTAAAAATTACACAGGCAGAGCTTCTGACTCCTAGAAAGGACTTCCAAGCAAGTTAGTTGTTGCACCCTCAAGCCCAGCACGCCTCTGCTTTCAATTTCTAGCTCTATTCTGACAGTACAGGGTATCAAAAGTCCTCATCCAAATTGATATCTCCCGCATTGCTGACATTTAAATGATGGAATAATTAAGCGTTTGTATAGATGGCCGAAAAGAAAGCAGCGAGACGAAATTAAACTTCAGCTTTGACACATGCCTGCAACAACAACAACTAAGATTATAAAATTAATGATCTAAGCTGAATATCTAGCTAGGAATCTAGATACTTTTAGCCAGAGGATAGGCAACAATTCCATTTGCAAAGTCAAATTAATTTATATTAAACTATTAAACTTCGCCTTAGTTGCGAATGCTCGACTGGCAGATACCCTGCACGCTGTGTTGTGAGCTATGCAGAAAAGCACAGCCTGACAGACTGACAGACGATCAGACGGACGAGCAGTCAGGCGAACGAACAGTTAGATGGAGGGACGGTCAGATGGAGGAACGATCAGACGAACTAACGGTCTGACGGACAAGCGGTCAGAAGAAGGAACGATCAGATGGACGAACGTTAAGATATAGAAACGGTCGAACGGACGAACGGTCAGATAGGGACGGTTAGACGGACAAAAGGTCAGACGGAGGAACGATCAGATGGAGGAACGATCAGTCGGACGAACGGTCAGATAGGGACGGTTAGTCGGACGAAATGTCAGATGGACGAACGGTCAGACGGACAAACGGTCAGATGAAGGAACAATCAGACGGAGGAACGATCAGACGGACGAACGTTCAGATATAGAAACGGTCGAATGGACGAACGTTCAGATAGGGACGGTTAGACGGACGAAAGGTCAGGAACGGTCAGACAAACGAACGGTCTGACGACCGGTCTGACGAACGAGATCACTGAGATCGGCTTCTCGCCTTGAACAAGAAATATATAGAGATTTTAATGGTGTCCTTTATGCTGTTCATATGGACAAATTGCCAGACAGTTGGAAGGACGGAAAAGACAGAGGAAATTGGCTAGATGAGCTCAGACTCCGCGTCTTGAGCAGGAACATAAATATATGCAGATATTCACAGACAGACAAAGAAAGTGACGGGCGGACGAACGAAAATGGCAAGGCCAGTGACTCAGCTCTGCATTCTCGTCTAAGCATACACCCCTCATAGTCAATGAAGCTAGGGTATTTGCATTTGAATTTGCAAAAAAAAACCAAAGGAATCAAACTTTTATTCATAGCAAATATATATCTACAGCCATGCATAAAGTGCCTATTCGAACTGCAAAGAACTCGAACGAGTTCAGCTAGAGGCTAAGCTAAATATAGGGATTTGCCTCGTCGCTGGCAAATTCTCGCCTGAAGTCCAAGCCGGGCCCAGTCTCAATGCGATTCGGCTGTCGCTCAGCTGTGTGGGGAATGAAATTCAACCTATGGGCGTAACAATTGCCATGGGCGTGGCACTTACCAACTACGTTGTCATCGAACTTCATCAGTTGCCGGATGGCCTGCTTGAGCCCGCGATCGGACTTCGTTGGCTTTGCCTCCTCATCGTCCACATTGATTGTCTTGATGTCGATCTTATGGATGTTGTCTGCATTCCCATCAGAGTCTGTGTAATCACTAACATCGCAATCGCTTCTATATTTATGCCCATCCTCATCCTCATCGTCGTCGTAGTCGTCGTCCTCATTTCCGACAGCGTCTAGCCGCTTGCCATGGCCTGACTTCACGACTGCAAAGGACACTCTATGAAGTAGAACCGATTATTGTAGAGCTCTTGACATACCTCGCAGCTGACTCTGCGCTCGAGTGAAATCTGTCGACTGCTTCGCAGCAGCATTGCCCTGTGCCTTGTCCGCGATTTGAGCTGTTCGTTTGAATTAGAAATAATCGCAGAAGGAACAACAATTCCCAGCTTACCCCGCACGCTAGGCAACAGCATAAACATCGCGCAGATCAACAGCAGGCGGGATAACTTCGGTGCTAAGCCCATTTCTCTTTTATATCGGGTTTATGTGCTTAGCTGAATAAAGAGCTCTGACATGGATTTTGTCAATTCGTAATTTAACAGAAACAGCGAAAGGTAACTAGATTTTTGAAGACGTAACTTGCCTGACAGCCTTACATAGCCCAAATGGCTAGTTAAGTAGGAGCAGGCCAAGTTTCATGGGACATTTGCTTGACTCAAGCTGTTTCCTGAAGCTTTAAGCACTTGCTTAGTTCAATGTATCTAGGCACAACACTTAAAGCCTTTTAACTTTCTGTTAGCAATTTGTTATACCCATATCATTTCAGAAATGTTATTTTAATATTTCTTCAGAATTTTCCTTTGCCCCTTCGATGTGCCTGCGCTTAGCGCGTAGTTGTTATCATTTTGAAGCGTTTGCGCTCTTTGAGCTTTTGGCTTGCCACAATTTTGCCTTATGCGGCTTCCCCATAACCTCAAAGCCACCCAATCTACCCCGCCCTTATCAATGTATGCAAAAGGCATTACGAGTGGGGGGTTTGAGCGGGGCGTAAACGTTCAAATGGACGAAACAAGCTGCTAAAAGTTAAAGTTTTTGTGGCTGCGGTAACAGCAGCAGCAGCAGCTCTTGTTGCAACATAAAGAGCCACACACTACACTCCACACACACACACACACTCACATGCGTAAACGTTTTGGTAGCACGAGTCGAACCTCAAGAGCCAACTAAACAAGCCCCAACCAAATGGCGACTGCCGAGGGGTTGTATAGATGACAGAGATAGGGGCATAGTATGTGTGTGTGTGTGTGTGGGTGTGTAGTGTGTGTGTGTGTGTGTGTGTGTGCCAGTGGCAACAACTTTTGATGCTCAATATTTTTGAAAACCCAACGAAATTGTTGCAACAAATTCACATAACAGTCAATGCACTGAACACGAAATAGCTGAAGCTGAGGCAAGGAGTGCTCGACTTAAAAATACCCTGTAAGCAGCTCAAATGCATTTCCACACATTGTGCTTAGAGTGGAAGCGGGCGAGAGGGCAATCTATCCGTGGAAGAGCTCAACAATGAACTTAAGCTCTTGAAATGAGGAAGAGTTAAGTTGCTTCCGACTTATCATGCTCCCAATAGGCGCGAGTCTGCCTAAACAATTGAATCATTAACTAAATATTAGCTACTAAAAAGGAATCAAATATATATATAGAGAGAGTGAGAGAGAGATAAAAGCAGAGCGAGAGGGAGAGAGACAGAGATCGATTAATAAAGAAATCAGCAACAAGAACGATATAGAGAGGGTTAGGGGGGAGACAAATGAAGAAAGATACAAATAACTAAATATATTAAATTATAAAAAAAGGGTATCTAGCAACGAATATGCCTGCTTAACAATATGCCCTGTTCTATTCTAAACATTTTCAATGGGTAAAGCGCATAAAAATGCCAAAATGAAATGTTTTAAGGTTTGCCAAAAATATTTTCTAACAATTTGCCGAGTGTAATGTGCGAGTGTGCGTGTGTGTGTGTGTGTGTGTGTGTGTGTGTGTATGTGTTAACGGGCATAGGCAAATACCAACTAAATGCCCAGCAGAGCCGCTACTAAAAAAAAAAACCTTCGCCAACAAGCCCCACGCATCTTTATTAAAATGTCAAGCCATAAACGAGGTTGGAGAAGGGGCCGAGGCGAGGGGGCGGGGAGTGGCAATAAAATCCCATCAAACACATTTGTCAGTTGTTATTGTTGTTGTTGTTGCCATTAAATGCAGCACAAAATGGAAACAAAAGCAAAACTGGCAAATGGCAACAGCAGAGCACAGCGTAGAATCCTATGGAGTGGAAGCAGACAGCTAGTGAAAGGAGGTACAGGGTGTGTGTGTGTGTGTGTGTGTGTGTGTGTGTGTGTGTGTGTGTGTGTGTGTGTGTGTGTGTGTGTAATGTGTGTGTAAAATGCTTTTCACCATTTGCCAGTTAAAAACATCTTAAAAGCTACTTTTAACCACAATTATGTAAATATTAACACAAACGTAGCATAAGACAAAAGCACAACACAGAGACGACTCTGCAGGTGTGTGTGTGTGTGTATGTGTGTGTGTGTGGCAAAAACAACAACAAGTTGTGTGTCTCTGACTGTCGACAACACAACCATTTACCATTAGCATGTGTCTAGCGGGTAGCTCTTAGGGGTTCGCCCTGCGGCTAGGGGGTAGTTAGACCAAGTTCGAGGATTCCCATAGAGTTTTCTGCATGTGACAGAATAGAAAAGACGCGGCGGGGCGGGGCGGAGCGCGGCGGAGTTTGAGGCTGATGGCGACAGGTGTTAAAGTTAACGCTGAGACGAGGCGGAAAAGTCGTGAGACGAGACTCACAACGATGCGCAGGTGTCGAAGGCAGGCAGGGGGCCAGGCTGCCGAGACATAATCCCCAAGACGCACACACACGCATACATTGAAGAGAGCAATGTTAATAAGCAGCAGCAGCAGCAGCAGCAGCAGCAGTAGGAGCTGTAGCTGGGGCAGGCTCTGTCTCTCTCCCTCTCGTTCTGTTCCATTATTATTGAAAGCTTTTAGACATGGCAGCAGGTCACGTTCCCGACGTACGTCCGGCTGTCCGACAGTCTGTCCATCAGACAGTCATTCAGTCAGCACCCAAGTCAAATGAGCAAACGAAATGCAAAATGCACAGACAGTTGGCAAGACAGAGGACAGGCAGGATACAGACAGTGGAATACAGACGACAATCCGTTTTCATGGCTGATTTAACAAAGTTGGGAAGATACTGAATGGCATGACGGCAATACAACAGACAGCAGGCGGGCGAGGGGGCGGGGCGAGCGCGGGCAACAGATTCAGGGAAAAGAGCGTTATAGTAAGCTGCCAGCAGATATAGAAAACGAGCGTCAAATGCACTCTCCTCAACAAGGCAAAGCCAGCTTTAGTCAGCCTACAGCTGTAGCCAATGGACTCGAGCTCATGTGCAGTGTAGCCTTAAACTGATAAAATGTGAAATTGACAAAGCTTTCAATGATTTGCTGGTTGCTGGTAAGCCACCGGCTGTGCTGAGTGAAGCTGGAGAGTGAGTCGGGGAGTGGGCGGGGGGACTTAGGCCAGGCTAGTTCATTGATAAAAGGCGAGGCAGGTGTAGAGCGAGGCACGGGCCAGAGCGCACTTGTTGCCAAAAATGAAAATTATTTCCATGCACAAAACTACGAAATAACAAGAAATCACGAAAAATCAGGCAAACTGAAAATGTAACGCGACATTAACATGGGAATCGCGCAGGACGTGGCACATGCAAGGCTGAGTGGAGTGGCACTGGCAGTGGGCGTGGGCGTACACGCTGAGCGTAAACCAAAATCACATTAAGTTCGACGACGTTGCCAATGCGAATATGTGGAACAAACAAGGGAATGCGGATAATGTGGGAGGAGCACATAGAGCAGTGGAAAGCAGAAGGAGACGAAGGTGGAGGTGGCGCAGGTCAATGCAGTCACGGGTCTAAAAATCAAAAATTTGAATTTCGATCACGTCTTCAATTACGTCGAATCGACGTGCATATAAATCAACAGCGAACAGCAGTCCACACACAGGACTGCACAGGAAGGAGGCAACTCGCCTCGGTAGGGGCAGGCACTCAGCCAGCCAGCCAGCCAGCCAGCTAGTCACTCAGTCAGTCAGTCAAATGTGGTTTTCTTATTGTTGTTGCGTTGAGTTTTGTAAATCAAGTGGAAATGCCACAAAAAAAGAAGCGAAAAAAATAAGAAAGAGGAAACCAAATAGAAGCCTCGAACGTCGAGGGATGATACACATATAGGGGGGGGGGCAAACTGGGGGATAGGCGAAATGTCAGCTCGATTTTAGGCAGGGCCATACAGGGGAAAGTGGGCTTGGGACGCACTCATGCAAAGTGCAGTTGACATGCGGAAATTGTAGGTGCGCTGCGAGCTGAACTGAACTGAATTGAATTGAAGTCTTCTTCAATGGGGCGTGGCCACTTGAGGGGCAGAGCGTTAGATGCTGGATGCTGTCGGTCGGGCGAATTGTAAGCACTCGACACCAAATCGTGCGAAAAGCGTAATATGCACGCACACAAATACACACAAACACACACGCACACACATTGACACACGCATGGAAAGTGTGAGCCTCGAGGCGGGTCTCGAGTGCCGCCAGAAGATGCTGCACTCGAGCAATGCGCATTTCGCGTCAACTTTTTAGCTGCAAGTGCGTCGCTAATTGCTGCCACTGTCAAAAGGATAAGCAGTAAATTAGAATCAGAGCCTTTGCTTTAAAGGCAACTACAGCCAAGGTCAAACTTCAGAGGAGTTCTGTGAAGAGAAAGGGTCTTAGGTTGAGTCCGATGGCATAAGCAACAAATAAGAAGAGCTTTAGCTTTAAGGCTACTTCGATTTTCCATTAGTGTATAAGGAGAAAGTCTCCTAGTCTGTGCTCAAGCTCTGCTTAGTCTAGAAGGAGTCCTTGCTTTAAAGTCAACTGCAGCCAAAGTCTGACTTCAGAGGAAGTCTGGGAAGAGAAAGGGTCTTACGTTGAGCTAGCAGCAAATAAGAAAAGCTTTAGCTTTAAAACTAGTTCGATTTTCCTTTAGTGGATAAGGAGAAAGTCTCCTAGTCTGAGCTGCATCGCCAAGCTCTTCTTAGTCTATAAGAGTCCTTGCTTTAAAGTCAACTGCAGCCAAAGTCTGACTTCAAAGGAAGTCTCAGCAGGCAAAGTAAAACCAACTGGGAAACATTTGAACAGACTTAACTTCGATTTTCCGTCAGCAGATAAAGAGAAAGTCTCCTAGTCTAGGCTGTAGTCTGCAACAAGTAACAGCTTTAAGAGCAACTGCAAGCAAGGTCATGCTCAAACTGTAATTTGCAATAAGAGCAACTGTAAGGCTAAGCCATATGCTTGACTCGCAAGTATTCCTGCAGCTGGTCAAGCTTGGACTAACATCCAAGGTTACGCTCAATACCTGCCAAATCTTGAATTTCCCTTTGGGAAAGCTGTGAAAAAGAAAGGAATAAAGACTGCACGCTCGACTAGCCGTTGTTGTTGTTGCTGATGTTTGTCGGGAATTTGATTTGATTTGAAGCAGCTCTCGTCAACGGAGTTGCCACTCCATCTGCCATGTTGTGCATGCATGTCCTGCAA